TAGTGGTACAACAAGCGCGCGCGTATTAGGAGGTCCTGGGTTCGAACCCCAGCGAGACCTTTTGTTCTTTTTTACATTTTCTTCCATTTTTTTGTTGTTTGAAACAGGCGCATGGGCCTCAATGCTGGGCTTTTGTTTTTTTTTTGCTTATTTCTCACCCCTGCTTTCACATTCGCACACCTGACCCAAACCATTTTTATTTTATTTTTCATTTTTATTTATTTTCTTTTATATTTTATATTATATTTTTATTTTCTTTATTATTTTTTTATTACTATTATTATTATCATTATTATTATTTTTATTAATAAAAATATCCAAAAATATTTTTATTTATTATTTTCATATTTATATTTTATTTTTCTTTACAAAGACAAAAAGAACATAAAAACATTTTCTTAAACAAATTAATTTCTTTTTTCCTTAAATAATTAATATCTAGACTTAGGTTTAATTATTATTTTATTTTCTTATAAATTAAAATTAACTTAGAATTTAGGTTTTCTTTTAATTTATTAATTTTCATTATTATTATTATTAACCTAAAATCTTTTTCATAAAAACCCTAAAAATCCTTTTTAACTTAATTTCTTTCTTTAATTAGTTTAAGTTTAATTTTATTTATTTTTAATTAATCATTTTCTTTAATTAAATTAAACCCTTAACAAAAAACCAAACAAAAATCATTTCTTTTTCCATTTACATTCTTGCATTATTTTCTTTTCAATTCTTGTACAATATTCAATATGGTTGTAATAGATAATTAGGTTTAATTTTCTTTTAAATTTGTAATAGCTTAGTAATTTTACTTTCCGCAAATTATCGCTTTATATAAATGTTAGTAATTAGGGTTTGTATGGTAAGACTAAAATCAATAAGTAGCAAACCCTAATTCAAGATAAACAAAGTATGTAAATCAAACACATTTGCACACTTGCACCCTTAGGGTAATTCCACTTTGTTGCCTTACAAAAATGGCCATGTTATGCATGTGGGATATCTTAGCAAAAAGCAATCAAAAACACAAGATCATAGTCCCTCGATAACGCTATCAATGTTGCCTTTCAAAATGATCTTAGTCCCTCAAAGAGAAATGCTAAGATATCTCACTATATTTATATCATGACTACACGATGAGCCACACCCGTCCCTTTACATCCAAAGATAAGGCTTCTTACCAAATCAATGATAAGATAGCAATATCAAAGGAAAGAAAGAAATGAACAAAGACTTTTGAGTAGGTAGATTGTTCCTAGTTGCTTGTTCATTTTCAAATCAAACATCCTTGCTTATTTTCAAAACAAACACCAAACACTTTCAAAAAAATTTCAAAACATGAAACATTTTCAAAAGTCTAACGCTTTGTATACGTTCTTACGAACGAGAACTGTTACAATGTTTGCCTAAACGAAGGCTCCTTTTCAAAATACTTTCAAAAACCACACAAAACACATTTTCAAACAAAGCAAGTGATCTAGCAAGCAACTAAGAGCCCATAGATGACTATGGATGAAAAGGGTGCTAACACCTTCCCTTTTCATAATCTACCCCCCGAAACTCAAGAAATAATCTCAAAGGTCTTTCCTGTTCTTTTCAGCCTTTCCTTTTGGATAAAAGAAAAGTCGGTGGTGACTCTTGCTAACTACAAAATTTATGATAAAACGCAAAACAACCATGTCATTTCTCCCATCGTATCACAGGCAGTCACACAATTGTTCTCTAATTTGTTATTTTCAATCCTTTATTGTTGCATGGGCCGATTTTTTTTGAATTTCTTTTTTTAAAAAAAAAATTATCCATCGGGATGCCCTAACTTCTGCCTAAGTCAATTTTTTTATTTCCTTTGACTTAGCGGGCTCTTTTTTTTTTTTGCTTTTGACTTTGAAAAATCACTACAAGAAAAAAAGAGATTTACGACACATAAATTGCGACAGTTCCCACAAAACCGTCATTATTCCTGAATTGCGACAGTTGTCACGACGGTTAGGCTCAACCGTCGTAGATTTTCAAGCATTATGAGTAACATAATTGCGACAGTTACCAAACAACCGCCCTCTTTTCACATCCGCGACAATTAGGTGAACTGTCGTAACTACATTAGCCAATCATAATCGCTACTTTTTTTTATTCTTTTACTTTCCCACTTTTTTTCTTTCATTTCCCCTTCTTTTTCTCTTTTATTAATAATAATAATAATAATAATAATAATAATAATAATAATAATAATAATAATAATAAAATAAATTACCAACAAAATAAATTTTCACACCCATCAATATTAACCGCCGCATGAAAAAAATCTAATTAATTACTTGAAAAAAATTATTTAAAAATCATCAAAGACCACGACGGTGAAAATACCGTCGCCTACAATTACAAAACATCCACGACAGAGTCCCACCGTCGTCATCCAATAACTTATATTTCGCGCAGTGCCCTTGCGTTTTGTCTTCACTGCCAAACATCATAATCAACGTCACTCTTATGTTTATTTTGTTTTTCTTGCGTCTCTTTGCAGGTACGACGAGATCTTCGACGACGTCGTTTTGGCTTACGATGTTTACTCGTTTGACAAATGCGCCAAGATCCTTCCTGGAGTTTATCCTTATTTTGGTGTTAATTTGAAGCTTAATCTGTTGCTTTTTTCTCCCAAGCCAGATATGCTTTTAGGTATTGTTAAATTTCATTTGTTAATGCTACTTGTATTCTTTCATTTCGGTCTATTGTTTTAACAAAAATTAACAAATTGTGATAGTTCAATTTTTTTAGGATAGTTTTATTGATTAATAGGGTTTGTGTTTTTTTTTTTCCAGAAGGAAAGGTAGTGAAACTTACACATGAGTCTATTCATGTTGTTGTGCTTGGATTTGCTTCTGCGATTATAACGGAGAAAGATATCAGGGCAGAGTTTGTGTATAAAATGGTGAGCTTCTCCCAGGAATGTTTTGGTGGTTATATATGTGTGTGGTTTTAGTGTTCTGTAGCGGTGATATGTGGTTTTTGTTTTTGTAGAAACACGGGCAAGAAGTGTATGCGAGTAACTCTCACAAGCGACATGTGATAAAGGTTGGAACCACGATACAATTTTTGGTCAAGAGGTGACATACTTTTTAAATTGATTAGAATAAGATTAGATTTGTGTTCAATGCATCTTTTTGCCTTACAATTGCATGAATATCTGTCTCTAGTTTGGTTTCTATTTCCCGATCTTCATTCTCTAGACTTGAATTAGTGGTATTGATTGTGTGTTGAATTTTAAATATCCGCGTTAGCTTAGACATCCCCAAGGATATAGTAATCATCCCTCTAGATGGGTTTCATTGTGTATCCTAATTGATTTTTGACACGAAGGAGTACTATGTATATGTACATTTGTATGAGTAGTAACTAAAAATAATATAATTCTGTACCACTGTATCATTGGTTGCACATGAATATATACAAAAAGAATTGGCTACCTAATCAATAAATCTGTAGGGAGTGACAGGAGTTGGACTTCTTCTACTAACATATATAGATCCCTTTCTGTGTCTTTGGATTGATATCTAGTATCTACTATGTAGGTTTGCCTGTTCTTTGTATAAATCTTTGTTCTATTTTGGGTCTTGTCTAGTCTAGAAGCACCCTCAAAGGTGCACACACATATTTTAGGTAATTATTTAATTTTACTCGGATTATCATCAGTATTATTATGTCATTTTATTTCATTTCAGCTTATTTCATTCATATTTTAGTTGTGTATCAGGTCTGAGATTGGCGTCTGTGTCTTATATATGCTTATTCAGTGTTTCGTATTAATGATCAGTTAATGAATTTAGTTTCCTTGATGCTCTAGAAAGCTTGTTATCAAATTGCTGTTTTTCTTTCTTAAGCTTAACATACTTGATTTGTGTTTATTTTTCTTGCCTTAACTATTGTGTAATTATCTAATATTCTATAAATCTAGATTAAGTTTTAATTTATTAAACACCTTTGCATTCAAGAGATATAGGCTAAAATTGTGCTCTATAATGACTTGATAATAACACAGATTGCTGTAACAATGTCTGTTCATCAGTATTCTATTTCAGTGCTGTCAATCGTGGTTCGCAGAAAATACTGGTTTTTAACTGCAATCTCAGTTTTCAGTGCCGTCGTGCTTCTTGTATCAACCCTATAGTTATATATGATAATCATAAGCTTGTAGTAACAATACTATTTTGATTTTGCAGGTAAGGATTTAAAAGACTCACGAGTGCTAACTGATGTCGGTGACGTCCCTATTCAAGAAATTCGAGATTGTGGCGTAGATGATAAAAGATTGATGAGTGTCATTGGCAAATCTGTCAAGTTAGTGATGGAAGAGGTAAATTTGTCAATTTATGATTTTGAATTAAAAAAGTACACCTTTATCATCCTCATATATTGTTTCTTAGCATTCACTCCACTATCATGTGAAATGCTATAACATTTTGCAGATAACTTTCTGTTCGAACTTGCTTGATCCTCGTGTTGTTTATATTCTTTCAGGCTCCTCTAAGACCCTTAGTTTTAGGTGGTGATCACTCAATATCATTTCCAGTTATTAGAGCTGTCTCGGAGAAGCTTGGAGGACCAGTTGATGTTCTTCATATTGATGCGCATCCTGACAACTATGATGCATTTGAAGGGAACATTTATTCGCATGCTTCTTCCTTTGCTCGTGTCATGGAGGGTGACTATGTTCGGCGACTCTTGCAGGTAATCTTTTATTGTTGATAAGTATAAAATCAAGGTGGCGCCGTGATTTTGTTGAAACTACAAACTGTAACCTTTTGCCAAAACAATGCTTTTTAATACATTTCAGGTTGGTATTCGATCAATAACAGCTGAAGGACGTGCACAAGCAAAAGTAAAATATCATAAAGAAACCTCAATTGACTCCACTATTTCATATCTTGGATTCAAAATCAAAGATAAGATCAATCCTCCGAACAACCACCCTCCCTCAACCATCTTCTCTTCTAACCCACCTCCGTCTCATGAGCAACCTCCCAGAAAACACCGTCTATTCAGGCCCAACCCCTCAAACCCAAAGGGTCACACTTTCACAACTCCGACAGAAACATAAAAACTCACAACCCATTACTATGGTCACTGCTTATGATTACCCTTCTGCTGTTCACCTCGATATGGCCGCCATTGATATCTGTCTTGTGGGTGATTCTGCTTCCATGGTTGTTCATGGTCATGATACTACTTTGCCTATTACTTTGGATGAAATGCTTGTTCATTGTCGTGCCGTTGCTCGTGGGGCTAAGACTCCTCTTCTTGTTGGGGATTTGCCTTTTGGAACGTATGAGTGTAGTTCTAAACAGGTATATAATTTTTTTTTTTTGTTTCTTTGTTTTTTAAAGATTGAATTTTTTATCTTTGTTAAGTTTTTGGTTGTTGGGAAAGTGGTGAAAATAGAATTTTTTTTGCTGTAGCAAGGGTTTTGATTTCCTAGTTTCCACCACCCCACACAGGTCCTTTAGGTTGTTAAGCTTGGTATTTTTCAATGACTTGAAATGGGGCATGTTTGATTGTTGTTAGTTGGAAATGAAATGTAGAAAGGAATTGATTGGAATTTATAATCTTGGGGTGTATATTTGTTTAACTGTTTTAACTTTCTAACCATACCAAGTGGTGTTTAAGTGTTGTTGTTTTGATTACAAGCAGGCAGTTGATACGGCAGTTCGGATTTTGAAAGAAGGACGAATGGATGCCATAAAATTGGAAGGAGGTTCACCTTCAAGAATTGTTGCAGCAAAAGCTATTGTCGAAGCTGGAATAGCTGTGATTGGGCATGTTGGTCTTACACCACAGGCCATTAGTGTTTTAGGTGGATTTAGGCCTCAGGGAAGAAATGTTGCTAGTGCTGTCAAGGTCGATATTTCTATTCTCTCACGCATGATGCAACTATTTTTGTATTTGAAAACAAAATTTGCTCCGGGAGTGTCTCATATTGAACCGGGAGGTCTTTCTTTCCGCGATGTTCTTAACATCCTACACAATCTTCAAGGTGATGTTGTTGCTGGAGACGTCGTTGAACTCGACCCACAACGCGATACTGTTGATGGAATGACTGCTATGGTAGCTGCTAAGTTGGTCAGAGAAATGGCTGCAAAGATTGCAAAATGATCAAGAGATTTCGGAGCTAACCTCTTTTTGTTATAGTTCCTGAAAATCGGAAAATCTCACTTGTTATAGGTAACTTGTAGCAAAGTTATAAGGTGGTATAAGCATATTACAATGTGCAATAATTCATAAATCTTTTCTCCCAATAATAAGTACTGGTATCTCACGGAAATCTCACGCTTCAATAGCAAAAGCAATGTCTCCTTGCATTATTTTACAAATGGTTTCCCAACTGAATTAATAATACTGAGTTAGTAAATATTTCAAAACAATTGGATTGCTCATTTCAAAACAATGTTGAAAAGTGATAGAAAATAAAATAAAAATACTATAAATAAAAAAATATTAAAGTAAATAATAATTTAAATATAATAGTAAAATAATATTATATTTAAAATTATTTTACTAAATAATAATTTAAATAAAAATATTATTTAAAATTTATAAATCAGATTACGACGGTTAAAGTCAAATTCACGACAGTATATAACCGTCGCAAACAACAACAACAAAAAATAAAGTCAAATTCACGACGGTATATAACCGTCGCAAACAACAACAAAAACAAAAAATAAAGTCAAATTCACGACGGTATATAACCGTCGCTATCTGTTGTGCGTGACAGTTTTTGCAACCGTCGCGAAATAGGCTGGGGACGCACGATTCTGCGACGGTACTTCTACCGTCGTAGATTGTAAATTGCGACGGTTTTAACCGTCGTAATCAGCCAAAATAACCGTCCCAATCTATCATTTTTCTTGTAGTGAATTATGACTGCCGCGCTGATTATTGTAAGTTTTTTCTTCATCGTTTCCTTGATCTTGATTGATGTACTAAGGAAGACGATGTTGTGAACTTTGTCTTTGTTGATTCCTCAATCTTGGATGATTAACACATGGAAGATGATGTGATCGAATCTTTGCTTAGATCGTTCTCTCAATGATGTATTGAGGAAAGAGATATGCTTGAACGTTTACTTAGATCGTTCTCTCGATGATGAATCGAGGAAAGAGACATGCTTGAACCTTTGCTTAGATCGTGTCGATTCTCCTGGAATTTGAATGCATCATCGAATTAATTGAAATCTACCCCGCCCCTAGTTAAGATTAAGGTTTTTTTTAGAAAATAGAAAGAACTCCGACTTTTAGCTCGAGGGGGTTAACTACGGTTTAACACCTTATTTCTCCACTGTTTAGGAATTGAAATAATGTCTTACATCGTCGGATAAGTCTTGCTATTAAAAATCATACGTCAGCAAAAATTTGATTATTTTGTATTTTCATAATTCTCCATCGAAGTTTGTTAATTTAAAAATGGAAAAGAAAGATTTAAAATGGAAAGTTGTTGACTTTTTTGTGTGGAAGGAATCGATTTCAAAAACATGCATGCTTATTTTATTAAAATTACTTGACCAAAAAGTACAAAATTTATGACAAATAACACTCAACAAGAAAGAAATTACAATTTGAAATGATAAAAGCCTAATTATCTAGAGATAAGGCTTCTTGTTGATCCGTTGACTTTAGGAGATGCTTCGTAGTTCTTGGACTTATTAGATCGTGGGGGTGACCCTTGACTTTTCTTGGGCATACTTATTTCGTTGATAGGAAATTTTCTCTTGATATAGAGGGATCACCAATGGTAGTGGCATTTGAGGCGCTGTGTAGGCCTGTAGTTGTCATGGTGAAAGATTTCATTCTCTCTCCAATAAGACTTGTAGGACCAAGCTCCATTGAGTCTCTAGTATATAATCCCCTTCTTCCACAGTTTCAGACTTTCTTAAGTTCGTTGGCGAGTATCAAGAAATCGATTAGGAAATGGATGATTGTTGGATAAGGGCGGAGGTGGAAATGCATTAAATGAAAATGTATGAATGTACAAAAATGCATGGGTATGCAAAAAAAAATTTCTCTTTGAGGTATGCAAAAAAGTTTCATGGATATGCAATGCGACATAGACGTAGTATGATGATAGATATAGGGATACCCTATATAGGTTTAAAGATAGGCATAATGATACCCTACACTGACTCAGAAATTGAGACAGGAAAAAACTCCTTAAAATATAGATATCGATTTGATGATATTCTACATTGTCTCATAGACTAAGAAAAGTAGGAGTTCCTTAAGGTTTATGGAAAATGAAAGACGACGGAGAGTCCCTACAGTATAGGGACGGTGATATAGATGAAATCCCTACGGGCTAAAGATAGTAGTAGATGAAGGGATAACCCTTGCGGGTTTGCAGATTGTAGTGAGATTTGTGAAAGGTATCCTTAGAAGGTAGGTTCTTAGTACTAGCCTACGAATATTCTACCCTCCTCGTAAGGTGGTTTCCTTAAGGGTATCATGAATGAAACTAGAGGTAAAGGCACAAGGGCCTCCCTTAATCGGAGTCTCTTTATAGACCGAAACTTTCGTCTCTAGGTCATGAAAGGTCTCATCACGAGTTTCTGGTTTAAAGGTTATATAAAGAGTCATAGGTGTCATTCCAAAGTCCTACTTCCCAAGAGGATGTCTCTCGAGAGGTATTCCTTTTGCGGAACTTCACCGACTCTAGGCGAAGTCGTCACATAAACTCATAGGGTTGATGTAACCCCTTGGCTAATAGACGAACCTTCTTTCTAAGGGTTTTGAGAATAATTATTGCAAAATTTTTAAATCCCACCACAAATATATAAATTAAATGAATAATAAAGAATAAGTAAGAAAATAAGTAAATAATTAAATAAGAAATAATAAAATCCAAAAGAAATAAGAAAAACCTTAAAAACCCTAAAATAGAAAGATAAAGCTTCTAAACCTAGGGTTGAGTCCCCATCAGAGTCACCAACTGTTGCAACTGGTTTTAAATTATAGAGTCGTCACCCTTAATTTTTATCCTAAAAGAAGGGAGTATAAAGGAATAACCCTAAAAGTTAGAGATTCTAGATTTGGACTCGGTTCTAGACTAGGGGAAGGTGTTAGGCACCCCTTATCTACCTTGTTCACATGGATACTAGGTTTAAAAGCACGATCTTAGGAAATAGGGTTTTTAATTATTATTGGGAAAAAGGGTTTGAATTTTATTTAGCGGGACTCGCCGCAATTTTGATCGTATGCCTATGTATTCTCTTAGGAGGAATCAGAGTCCTATTTCGTAGTTCGCGAATTATTTTGTATTTTTTATGGATTACGAAATATATTTGAATTTCCCGCATACGTAGTCTAAGAGTGTGAATGGCGGAGTTTGTTAGACCAAGTGCGCAGTTAATTTAAATATATTTGTATTCCTTTCCGAAAATTAATTAACCGAATTAATTTGATATGCAAAAAAAAGATTTGGTGTTTGGTTGAATATTTTTTATACGTAGAGCGAGGGAGTCTGATATAGTCTCATCATCACGTGGCCAGATATTGGCCACGTGTTGCTCGCGGATGGTGAATTTGGGAGTTGCGTGGATTTTAATTGTTTGATTTTGAATAATAAACTGATAGACGATGTGTCAACCGATTTAATTACTCGAAGACGGACATACTATTATTTATAGAATGTTTGAATTAATTTGATTGAGAAAAAATGTGTTTCATTATAAAGAGAATTAATAATAATTAAAATAAATAAAAAAAGAGTAATATTAACTAAAGGTTTAAAAAGACATTTTTTAGTAAGATTAATTAATGCTCTTTACCAAAAAAAAGATTAATTAATTCTAATGATTAATCAAAAGTACTACCTAAATTAAATAAATAGATAACTAAAGGGTGTGTTAATAATGAAATGGGCAAAAAATTAGTAAAAATAACAAAGACCCAAAACTCATTTTCTAACTAAACCATGATTCTAAGTATCTATGTTAATGTTAAAAATATAATAGCCAAGTGAAACTAAACTTGCAGCATGGTAAGAGAGCGACATTGATATTTTAGTGGACATCTCTCACTTTTTCCAAATTCAAATTCTCAACCTACCATCTCGCAACATGTGGCAAATAAATAAATAAACAATATTGAAATAGGAGAGAATGACTTAATCTGCTTCCTCGCCGGTTGAAAGTGTCTCTTGGATTTGACTTTTTTTTTAAACAAAGATCTTCATGTAATACTCTCTGCATCTGAAGAAATAAAATAACATCAACACAATAATTTTAATAGTTTTGTATGTTTGTTTGAGTCTTTGAATAATTATTATTTTGTTATTGATTAGATTAGGAAGTTCATGGTTTAGAAGAATTTTTTTAATATATTAATAAAATACTAAAGTAAATAACTTGACAAATAATAACAAAAATATAGTAGTAACAAATATATGAACCAAAGCAAAACTAACAATAATAATACTAATGATAACAAAATAAAAAATTAATATTTATAATACTAGAAAAATAGAAAAGTAGTAAAAATAACAATAAGTATAAAGTTTAAAAAAAATAAAAAAAAATGAAATATTGAAATGGGGGCCTCATATTAAATCATCGCCAAAACATAGAAATCACCAATGCTTTTGAAAAGTTTTTGAAAAAAAGAGTAGTAAAAAAAAAGCGAGAAGGTGAATGTGTGATTTATGGGAAATTATGGATATTTCTGGATTATTTAGAAGTGAAAAACATGTCCTAAAATAAAGTGTGACACAAATTGACATCTAATGGCCAATAAGAAACACAACACAAGAGATTTGAACTCGTGACCTTACGCTTGCAAGCTTCATCCTTTACCAATTGTGTTATGTTACACATTTATAAATAAACTCAATTTGAAAGAATATGAAAGGTGTGCTGATATTTTCTATTTTTAAAAATATAAATAATTTGGAATAAATTATTATATTTTTAAATAGGTTGGGAAGCGAATATTTATAAAAATAAAAAAATATTATAAAAACAATGTTTAAAATATTTTTGACTGGACTTGAGAATGAACATCTATAAAAATCAAATAATATTATAAAAACAATGTTTAAAATATTTTTGACTGTAGAAATAAAAGGGCTGGCAAATTTGAAGTATGACAGAAGCCATCATAAAA